GGGGTTGGAGTGAATATCACAAAATGATAAGGGAATGAATTGTGTCACTCATCACTAGTGATGCCACAGTTGTTAACCAATATGGTTGTTAACACAGCTCACAGAACAGGTTCACAATGAAAGGGCCATCTTTGGAGGTGGGAGGATCACATGTGGTCTGAATGCAGGGAAAGTGTCATTTCATCGCAATAAAAGCTAAAATAAAATAGAATAAAATATAAGTGGAGTGGGCGCTCTCAGACTAACCTACCTAGTCACAGGGGTGTTGCAAGAATAAAAGGGAAGGCAGAACCATGTACACCACCCCAAGCTCTTTGGAGCTCCACCCCCCCAAAAAAACAACTAAGTAATAGCTGAACATTCTCTCACTAAAAGCATTTCTGTACACTAATCATGGAGCAAAGGCCTATGCAGCATTTCTGTACACTAATCATGGAGCAAAAACATATGGCACATTTTAAGTGTAGTAGAACTAATATGACTGCACATTCATTACATTCAGACACACAAATCACATACACCACACTTACATTGCCATCCTAAGGAGAGTTACGCCCTTGTAAACCCATTGATTTAAATGGACTTAGAAGGATGTAACTGCTTAGGACTGCATTGTTAAGCTGTTATATCTGTTTTTACCCAACTTGCACTCAAACAAACAAAAACCCTTTGAAATCTTCTCCTACTTTCTTAGGCCATTTCCCACAAGCTTGATGTGTGAAAAGTCTGATATTATTCTTTTCTTCTCAACAGATTCAGGGAACAATCTTCCCAGCTCCAACTTTTGATCCTGTTATGGATGCCCAGATGCTAGGAAGTGCTGTACAAGGATTAGGTTTGTATGTCTGAGAGTTATAACCTTTAGTGTGGCATTTTCTTAAATCCTGCTGTGCATTTATCACCAATCTCACTTTAAAAGAAAGAGATATACTTCCCCCCCCTTCATGATATAATTAAAAAGAAAGACATGATGCAAATAATTGTTTACAATCAAAGAAACCAAGCACTGTAATTTGGGGGATTATAGCACATGAAGTAGTCACAAAATCCTGTGACAACTTTTCTAGCAAATCATAGACAATATTTTTTTTACCAATTCTTTACAGGAAAAAAAATAGAAACTTAAATTATATATCCTAAAAATGGATGCATTTTAAAGAAAGCCAATGTTCCACTTAAAGTGCTACTTGTTGCTACAATAAGCAAGCACACAGTGCAATTCTAAAGAATTACATCCTTCTAGGTTTATAGAGGACATTAGGCTTAGAATGGTATAACTCTGTTTAGAATTGCACTGCAGGACTGCAATCTAAGAGGGCATCCAAAGCCTCCCTAAAAGTGTTCATCTCAAAAAATGCCACACAACACCTCCCAAATGTTTTTCAGACTCTCCAAATGTTAAAAAGTAGTTTGAGAATGTATCATTAGATCTTTTAAAATGCGAAAATAGGAATGGAAAGAACCCTTTTCAGGAAATGGCTTAGCAGACCTAGATATATAATAAAGCATTTGCCCCAAACTCCTGTGCTGATTCTGGACTCAGGTTCGGGCTCCATGGAGGAACCCACAAAGTCTACTTGGCATCAGCTTCTAGATTTTTGTTGCAAGACCCTAGTATGGTTTAGGGATGTCTCCAGACTGCAGTAAACTTCATCAGATATATTCAGAGTTATCTGGAGCTTCATGGGATTGATGTTGTCATCAAGATGAATGCAAATCACACCTCCAAACCCCCCAGCCTACCACAGCCAGAGACATCTTGAATTATACTGGCCTCCAATTAGCCAACATAATGCATCGGCACAAAGGCCTTCTTATGCAAGTACTCCCCTTTCCTTTACCAGATCATAAAAACTCATCCATATACATTGGTTTGCCAACTTCCAGGTGGTGACTGGAGATCTCCCATTATTGCAACTGATCTGGAGAAAGTGGCCATTGTGAAAGGTGGACTCAATGGCATTGAGTCCATTGAAGTCCCTCCCCTTCCCAAAACCCATCCTCCTCAGGCTTCACCCCCAAAATCTCCAGGTATTTCCCAACCCAAAGCTGGAAACCCCTACATATGCATCTTTTTGTGTATTTCAATCAAGCACCATTTGTGCAAAAAAAAAAAAGTGCACATTCTATAAGCACTGTTAGGTATTGTGACCACCAAGCAAGCAAGAATACCGTACATGAGAAAATAGTTGGGAGTGGGACCTTAATTCCTAGTAGTTTGCAAAACGTAGATGAGGATGTTTATTTTCACTAAAACTGAAGATTTCATTCTCTTTTGAATGTCAGGTAACAGAGTTTTATTAATCTCTGCTTTAACTGGAGTGATTCAGGTTTTCTTTCTCAAGTAAGATCATTAAATATAAGTCATAGGAAATGTCTGGCTTCCTTGGAAATAAATACATCACAGTTATTTTTTTTCTCCTTTTAAAGGCTGTGGTTTTCAAACATCCCTAAACGTATTGGTAGAAGAATCTTTACGCACCAGCCTCTTTGAAGACTCTGGACCCTACAATGTTTCCCACTCCCACTTCACATGAGGGTGTTGGCTGGAACTGTTGGGTCTGTGTCCTAGAACATATATACAATTACTCTGCAGTTGCTGCACACTAGGGGGGGAAAGATCAAAAGCAGTGGTGGGCAAGCTGTCTTCCAGATAAACCATCAGCCCTTAATGATCTCCTTACCAAGGAACCCCTAATAAGCTTCTGAAATCCCAGTTTAGCCACAACACAGTTTGAAAAGTTTGAAAATCATTGCTTTAAAGTGCAGACACTGTTTATGCTTTTAGGAAGCAGTTATAATTGCCAGTCATAAACTAGTGACCATATGCTGTCTTTTTAAAAAACAAAAAAAGGCTGCTGAAATTCAGAACATTACTCAGAAGCCAGAATAAAGAAAACAGCAAACTAAAAAAGTTCTTGTAGGTATTCTACAATCTCTCTGCACACACGTACCTGCCATTCCAACCCAGAATTCAATGGTAAATAACCATAACACTCAGAAATCAGATTTAATCAGTATTTGTGGGATGTATAAGCACAACAAACAAGGGGCAGATATAAATCTGTACACGAAGTCTAGGCTCCTGCTCTGTGAAAGCCATTATCCATTCTCTTGATGTGCCCTTGAGAAATATGGTAGTGCATCTGATAATGCTAACTATTTGTCAGCAGTACACCAGCACATCAAAGGCAGGTTAGTGCTCTAAATACAACCAGTGTCTGTAAATGCCAGTAGGATAGTCATCTGTTGATATTGTTCTGCAGAACATGCACCCAACATAGGCAGAGTAAAGCACAGCAGTCATCAGCTAGTGCCGATGAAACCAGCACAGTAAATAAAAATCACTGTTTCAAATCTAATAATTATATTTTCTTCCCCTTGAAGACTGCAATAAAGATCTGCTGATTGATATTCTAACACAGCGCTGCAATGCACAGAGGCTCATGATTGCTGAGGCTTACAGGAACATGTATGGCAGGGTAGGTTACATTAATTTTGCTCTCGTTTCTCTACTTTTCAGTCTCCCTTTCCAATCACTGTTACCGTTTATATATACTGTTTCTGGCGTAACCAAGAGTGTTGCTTCCTGATTGGATAGCTATACATGAGTGTACAAGTATTTGTTTCATGACCATCATATTTCTGTATGTTGTAAGATTAGCAGTAGTAGTAAACTTGTCTGTAACCTCAGGAGATACTTATCCCATTTTCCTATTACTTTGATCTTGCCCTAGGCTTATCTTCAAGACCCATATCAAGTAATATAGGAGGGAGCATCATATTCATCTAGTAAAATATTTGTTTTCTTTGAACAGCATCCCCTTCCAAACAGATACACACTTCCATGCTGTATCATAGTTTCTGCAATAACAATCTCCAAAATTTGTTTTCCATGCAGATTTGGAAGTGGCTATACAAGAGCTCAAGGTCAAAGCATCTTTAGGGATGTAGGTCTAATTGTGCAATTCTTTAGATCGGTTAGTGCTCTAAATACAACCAGTGTCTGTAAATGCCAGTAGGATAGTCATCTGTTGATATTGTTCTGCAGAACATGCACCCAACATAGGCAGAGTAAAGCACAGCAGTCATCAGCTAGTGCCGATGAAACCAGCACAGTAAATAAAAATCACTGTTTCAAATCTAATAATTATATTTTCTTCCCCTTGAAGACTGCAATAAAGATCTGCTGATTGATATTCTAACACAGCGCTGCAATGCACAGAGGCTCATGATTGCTGAGGCTTACAGGAACATGTATGGCAGGGTAGGTTACATTAATTTTGCTCTCGTTTCTCTACTTTTCAGTCTCCCTTTCCAATCACTGTTACCATTTATATATAATATTTCTGGCGTAACCAAGAGTGTTGCTTCCTGATTGGATAGCTATACATGAGTGTACAAGTATTTGTTTCATGACCATCATATTTCTGTATGTTGTAAGATTAGCAGTAGTAGTAAACTTGTCTGTAACCTCAGGAGATACTTATCCCATTTTCCTATTACTTTGATCTTGCCCTAGGCTTATCTTCAAGACCCATATCAAGTAATATAGGAGGGAGCATCATATTCATCTAGTAAAATATTTGTTTTCTTTGAACAGCATCCCCTTCCAAACAGATACACACTTCCATGCTGTATCATAGTTTCTGCAATAACAATCTCCAAAATTTGTTTTCCATGCAGATTTGGAAGTGGCTATACAAGAGCTCAAGGTCAAAGCATCTTTAGGGATGTAGGTCTAATTGTGCAATTCTTTAGATCCTGGTCATATTCACGTGGCCCAGCTGAGGACTTTATGAAAGAACAGCCTCAGGCTAGCAAAACTAGAGCCTACTAGACAGATTGTACGCACATCAAAATACAGAGTCCATGTCACCACTTAGTGCACTCTCTCTTGGACAAACTCATCATGGGCCCCGGTCACACGGGCCGGATATTGCGGGGGGCATGGCTGTTTGCCCCAGAGCGAACTACTGCGCGGCCGCAGGATCACAGGTCCCGCCGACATCTGGTGGTGGTGGTGGGGAGCCCAGGGAGGTGCCAATCAGACGGTGCGGCAAGAAGCGGTGCTGCCCTGGCAAACGGGGTTGTTGGGGGTTTTTTAACCCAAGTATGCGCTTGCGCCGTTGGGTGCTTGTGCGCATCCTGTGGAGACTTTTTTAAAAAAACCTTCTTTGCGACGGGACATGGGCGGGTGCCGGATGCCACGGGATTCCACCGGAAACGCAATCAGATGCCCGCCCTTGCCCCGCGGTTTCCGGAAACTAGTACCTCCAAGGTACTAGTTTTTTGCTGCGCGTCTTCGGCGGGAAGCCTCGGTTGAGCAACAGGAGTGCTACACTTCCCAGATGTGCCGGTGAGATTGCACCCGGAAACTCCGCCTATCTTCCATCTCTCTAGCGTGGCTAATTTTCCATGTGACCGCAGCCATGATTGGTCAAGAGCTACGGTTGATGGGAAACTCAGGCCAGCCAGGTAGTTGGGGGCGGGGCTGAAAAGGTGCTTCTAGATGGGTGTATATCCTGCTAAATCAGACTATCAAGGCCACTCTACACTTTATGTTGCTGTTGTGTTAGCTGCAAATATGTCAGTGTTACACTAAGGTTCTCTGTAGCAAACACATAAAATGGAAAGGATGTCTATTTAGTGAAGTTTTATCCAGCCTTTCCTCCAAAGGGCTCTGGCAGTTGTCCTTCCCAGTGTTATCCTCACAACAACCCTCTGAAGTAGGTAAGGCTGAGAGAGATTGACCAGCACAGGTCCACCCAGTAAGCATCATGGAAGAACGAGGACCAACACAGGCCTCCCAGACCTGACACTGTACCTACTACACCCAACTGTGACGAAAGTGGTTGCTATGTAAAGCAAGGATTATTATTAATTGCTAAATGGGCTAAGCAGGGGAAATCTTGGTATATCTTCATCCTCACAATGGGCCAACATTGTGGTCTTTATGTGGGGCATAAACAAGGTGCTATCATGAAGAACAACTGTGTATTTCACTGCTGCAGCCAGAGATCATGATCGGTTCCATCTACTGACTGGTGTCCACGGGGATGCAGAAGACATTCCCACTTGAGGCAGCTGGGGTTGACACACCCTAGAACAGGCCATAGACAAGAAAGGTTTAAGGTTGAGGTAGCTGGCAGACAAAACAGCAGTGCTGAACAGAGATGAGCACGCTTTATGAATGAGCTATATGGTTGCAATCCATAGGACATTCAAAATGGAATACAGACCCATAAAGTAGCTCATTCCCACTGAATTAACTGGAACTAACAATGTAAATGCAAGCATGTCAGCCTAAATGCATTGAAAATGACATACAATATATTCTTTAGTGCTGCCTCATGTATATTTTGAGCTTGGATGCAATTTTGCTTTTATTTCTTCCAATTTATGCTTTACATAGCTCATTGTAAAACAATAAGGCTAGTCTCACCACTTTTATTTCTAAAATGGGGGAAATTAATCATAAAGAAGTTGTTAATTGTGGCATTAGCATGAATTCCAAACTGCAAAAGGATGACATGGGAAAAAAAAGATACAAGCTAAACCACATGTTTCTATTAAAGTACCATCCAAGCTTGTTCTGCAGTTTAGAAATCTGCACAAACCTCTCTGAGATGCCTTCTTACAATTACCCTTCCCTGATTTCTCATAGCCAAGATAATTAGAAAATGTTAATAATGACAACTCAGAGTTGTCTTGTCTTATTTGTCACTGCTCTTCTCCATTTACTCTAGTTCCAATTGCAGGGGGTAATTTTTAATTAGTCTCCATTTGTATTATTAATCAGTTTTCCTACAGGCATGCTGTCAGCAGTGAATGTCTTAATGAATTAATTTCCATTCCACGTGTGATTTAGTGGCTGTCAAATGTATCTAATGTGCATTCAGCAAAGATTACATATTGTTTCTTCACCATAAATTCATTTTTAATTTGTATGTCTCTTTCCTCATTGCTGCTATGTCTGCTATGTTAATTATATGCATGGGGCCCATGGTTACCTTTAATTATTCGCCTTCTGAGAGCAGCTTTTGCATTAACGGTACTATATTTCATTTATAGTTTATACTACCTCTTTATTGCTATATCCCCTGGTACTGAAAATAATCATACACAATTCACAACAAAGTACTTAAAGGCAAGTTGTGCCGGAGGACACGTCCCCTTGCAGTTCAATTCAGTCAATCAAAACCCAGACCTGAAGTCGGGGATCAATGCAAGATAAATGATGGTTTGAGAGGAAGGCAGAAATTCCAACCCATCAAGGCTAATTCATGTACGGAAATGTTTTTCTGAGTAAGGATCTACTTCCATCACTCCTTTAGTATATGGAGATTACCCTAAATTTGATTCCATAGTTACATATTTAGATAAGTGTGTGTGATCTTATCATAACATATCATTCCTACTCATAGGATAGATGTAGATACAACCATGGTTAGGGGATGTAAGGCTGTAGTCACACGCACTAAATAATTCACTTTCAATCCACTTTCCAACTGGATTTTACTGTGTGAACTGGCGAAATCCAGTTGGAAAGTGGACTGAAAGTGGATTATTTAGTGTGTGTGATCGCAGCCTAAGGCAAGCTGATGGGTGACAAGCTGCCTCTCACAGCACTTCCTTCCTCATCCGCGAATGACCCCATCCTCCCAATGCTACATCTTACACATGGATCTGAAGGCTTACTGCTATATTTGGTCAGCAAGATATGTGTAGGTGTGAATGTGGCTCACTATCTAGTTGCAGCCCTGATCGATACTAAAACAGCCTTTACTTTATGCACCAGGCCAAAACATTTCTCTTTATTCAGGCTTTTAACAAAGGGTTCCATCTTTTTTTAGCCACCTTATGGTCTGCTCCTAGCCTGAGGACTGTTTTCCCAATCTTATTTTAGAACTCTTCATTTTATCTGTTTTTATGCTCTGGTTTGCTTTTATTGGCTGTTTCTCTTAGTATTGTTTATTGACTTGGTTTGATTTACTGATGCTATTGGCATGGATTGTTTTATTGCCATGATTTGTTTCTATTGTTTTTATTGTCTGCTTAGTTTTGTTTTATTGCCACCTGGAGCAGGTCTGGAGAGTTGACCTACAAATCTTCTAAACAGATACGAAAGCCCATTTTCCCTGCCTCTCACCCCTCAGTGCTGTTGGCTCAAGTTCTATACTCCACTGTGTCACTATATAACAGCAGTAAGAGATTTCTTGTTATAGTGGCAGGCAAGATACTTCTACAAGGTTGGTCACCTATAAAGTTAAGCTGGCCCTGGTGAGAAGCCTGTTCTTTAGAAAAAAAAATCAATGTGATACATTCTTCATGTAGTTAAAGGCACACCGACCAATCACAGAGATGCCTTGATCAATTATCTGATTAATGATCTGAAGAACTAATGCTAGGCAAGCCAAGCCAAGCCTCTCTTCAGTTAGCATGGCATAACTAAGCAAGATCTACCATGCCTTTGTCTTGGAAATAGCCAGGAATCCTTTTTTATGGCCTAATGACCTCAAAGAGTGTGTCCTGGCATCAAGAGTGGGTCCTGGCATCAAGATGGAAGGAGTGGGAAAGAGAAACATGAACCAAAATGGAAGCTTATTTCGTTAGGAATTTAAAAGAATACTCTGGTCTCATGAGACTTTGATGTTTCCATTTTATATTTTGATTTATCTATTATTTACTTACTTCACATATACTCACTTTTCTCCTGAATGGGGACCTAAAGTGGCTTACAGCATTCTATTTTGCTGCATTTTACTCTCACAACAACCTTATCAGGTTAGGTTGAGAGTGTGTGCTTGGCCGGTTCTAGTTCACTCAGCAAGCTTCCATAGTAGAGTAGGAATTCAAACCCAGGTCACCCAGATCCTAGTCTGACACTCTGCTATACCACACTGGCTCTCTTTAGTCCCAAGCTGAGGATAAGGGTTAGAAATTCTATGATATGTCCTCATAGATACATGTGGGAAGGCATTTTTCAGCTTAGAGATGTTCACTGAGTCAAAACTTTTGAACTTCTACTACAGATGAGAATGACTGTGTTCTATTGGTCTTATATCAAACCATTGCATTTCCAATGATAAATCCAGTTTTAGTGTATTTGTTTTCAAGACTCCATACTCTATTGCACAGAATCATTAGAAACATAACACTAATTTTCCTTTCCCAAGGATTTGATTACAGTTCTTAAAGAAACTCTCTCACATCACTTCAAGGAAGTTATGGTTGGCCTGATGTATCCACCTGCATCCTTTGATGCCCATGAGCTCTGGCATGCTATGAAGGTACATACATAAGGATTCTTAACTGATAATCTTCCAATAGTTTGAACCAAGGCATGACAAGCAGTTGTTGTCTGGCTTGTCTGTCTGTTCAACCTTGCCCGGATAGCTTAATGTTATTTGGGTGTTGGTAAATTTGAAATGGGAACAAATAATTGAGGCAATCAGTGTTACAAAATACACACTGCAAATAAGGGAAGTTCAAATGCTGATTACATTTTTATGACGTTATTCGCATCCATGGTTTTGTATCAAGTCAAACACCTCATACAATCAGTTCAGTAATTTGATTGCAAATCCAAAAAACAGCCCCCACCCCACCCCAGCATTCCGAGTAATTTTGCATCTCTGTAGTGAGGACATTCACTGTAGCATTTGTGTGAGTAACTACTACAGATGCATGTTCGGAATTTCTTGGCCTTTATTGCATACACCTTAGGGTTGACATCAGCAGGTCATGCACCATTTCAAGTCAACTATGTAGACTGTGTGCTGTTTTTGTACATGTGCAGTTGACAATTAATCAACCAATGGAACACATTGTTGTGGCGCATGCTCAGAAATGGCAGCACTGAACAGGCTCAGATTTGGGAGTCAGGCAAGCAGACAAAATGGCCAAGACTGGACCAGTAGAGACAACAAGACAAGCAGCTTCTCCAGGTCAGGTCCACACACCAGCAAGCTTGATATAAGTCTTTCCTGTTGGGTATACTGGATGAACAGATGGGGGAAGGTGACAGGCAGGGCAAAATATTTTGAATCCAGCCTTTGGGGTTAGCCAGGCAAAATGGGCCAGGCAAGACAAGAGAGACAAGCATGCAGCAGAGCCCCTCCCCAGCAGGTCTGAAAAAGCTCTATTAGGGGGGGGGGAAATGATTCCTTAAAAATATCCAAGGAGGACAGGTGGAGGACAGGGAAGGAGGCAAGTGTGAGAATTCCCATGCACATTTTCTTTCTAAATGTGAACGTCTGAAGAACAATCAAAGATTCTTTTCCGGTTTGAGGGTCCTGCTCACAGTTTATGAACAAACTGTGATCTAAGCAGAGGGGTTACTGATTGATACATACAATGTATCAGTTACGATGGATATATCTGGAAGTCTGCACAATTAGTTAAACATTAAAAAAAAATCAAGTCATACCAAAAGCTAGTGACACAAGTAATTCCGGTTGGCTAAGTGGTTTTTGTTGTTTTATTGTTGTATAGACTGATTTGATTAAAATGGTTCTAACCCACTTTGAGGACCTTGCCCTAGATATACAGGTGGGATACAAACATCTTTATTAATTAAAAACAAATATTTCAATATTTATGCCTATTTAGTTAGGTGGCACTTATTTCAACGAGATTACTGACACCCAAGAAAATGTGTATAGGATTTCAGTCTTAACAGACACATGCCATGATATTAAGTGCTGTGTACACAACAGTTCTTTACTGTTCCCCAAGGATGTAATTAATATTAGCACAATTCACTGTGCTAAGAGATTATTTATCTCACTTTCAATCTTGTTTCATCAAAGGAACTACTTGTGCGCTTAAATGTAAAAACATACCGATAAACTGTCATAGGCTTAGGTGGTCTGATCAATTCTATCCTAAAGCAAATGGGATAAAATCACCACTTCCCAGGAAACATTAACTTGAAAAGATACTACTAGAAAGTGCTTTTACAGAAACCAGCATGCTGTACTTATTTTAAATCTATTAATTGTATTTGAAACCAATGTTTATACCAGCAATGTTTCTTTTCCACCCAAATGCAGGGAGCTGGCACAGAGGAAAACTGTCTAATTGATATATTAGCCTCAAGATCAAATGAAGAAATCTTCCGGATAAAAGAAACCTACCTAATACGTAACTCTGGTGTTTTTTCCCCTCTGCAAAGTATATAGTAGTATTTACATAGCAGGCCTTATCTAAGAGGATATTTAAATTATGAATTTGTTTTATACAATATTGTAATAATTTCTCTCACAAGACCTTGGGAACTGCAACTAATGAGAAGCCTGATTATTTCAGAGATCCTTTGCATTTCCCCCTACCCATACAGTTTCTAGAATTTCCTAGGAGACACAGGGGCCATTTCTGTATTAAACATTTTGCTCTGTATTTCATCTGTTTTTGCATCATGTCACACAGTTTCAAAGGTTGATTCCATTCTACAAACCTTACCCTGCTTTTTTTCGTGGTTTTTCTAAGTTTTCAAGCCAGGTTTTCCTTTACACACTTTCGTGGTTTTTCTAAGTTTTCAAGCCAGATTTTCCTAAATGTTCAAGCCAGGTTTTCCTTTACACATCGGAGTCAATGAAAGATTGATGTTCTCCTATGTCAGCTCTTGCATCACCACAGAGTCCTGGGCTGTTGTTTTTTTCTTCCACAAGAGCAACATCAGTATATTGACATAGTGAGTTTCTGTGCAGCCCTCTGTCATCCTCCTTCCGGCTCTGTGCCTTTACAACCGGCACCTTCGCCTAAACAGTCTGCTGTTCTAACCCACCATAGCAAACAGAAAGCTCTGCTTGCCTATAGATGAGAGAAAGAAGTAGCAGTGCCCACACCCTCATTTTGAGAGGATGCTGCTGCTCCCAGGAGTGAAAAGGCTCCCTTTGCTTGGTGGGCTTGGAGGACTCAGCCTTCTCCCAACCTCCCTTTCTGTTCACCCACACACTCTCCTGAGCCCTTTTCTTCTTTGATACAGAAGGATCCTTTCCTTTCTTTATCCTGTAGTGGTGATGGTGGCAACACCCTCCTGCTTGCTATCAAGTCCTGCCAGTGGGATGATACATGGCTCTGTCTCCTGGTTGCCCAATTTAAGGGCAATGACATAGCTAGGGGTGGGGCAGCAGATGGACATGTGCAAACTGCCAAAGCAGGGAAGGGAAGAAGGACCCCATATGATCCATCATGGAGAGAGGCATAGGGTGGGACTGGGGGTGCCAAGATAGAGCACTCACAGATGGGGGATGCAGGTGGGGAGAAAGCCGGCATGGAAAGCACAAGAAAAATGGGCTTGAAGCTGCCACAGCGACTGCAGGCATGCAGTGATGTATGTAAGGTTGGGGGGAAACCAATGTTGTTAAGAAGCCAAGCTGGAGCAATAAGTCTGTGCAGAGATGACCAATGATGAAATTGTTTAAGTCCTGTACTATTCCACTCTCTAGTCAGTATATCTGCATTAAATACAAATTTATTTATATTAAGTTATCAAGTAATTAAGTTCATTTATATTAAGTTATCAAGCTTGGTGATTTACTTCATTGCTTAGTTTCCTCACTGATTAGCCCAGAAACCTCCCTAGTGTAGAACTGGAACCCCTTGGTATTGCAAAGTATTTTTAGACAGTTGGTTCACACCAGGGGTCATTTCGTAGAAAAAGAGCTAGGGGGACTCATTAGCATAACTCATTAGCATATGCCACATCCCCTGACATCACCGGAGTGTGTCATAAGGCCACACCCCCTGACATCATCGGAAGTGTGTCATAAGGCCACACACCCCACCCCCAATGGTCCCGGCCGCCACCGCCGGCCTTGCAGCTCCACTGCCGAGCCCCATGAGGGGCCCGGCGGTGGACCTGCAAGGCCAGCGGGAGTGCAAGGAAGCCCCGCGAAGGCCCTCCATGGCCCCAGGTAGGCAGGGGTGGGGAGAGGCAGGGAGGAAGCAACTTACCCTCCCTCTTCTCTTGCCTCCCGAAATGACCTCTGGTTCACACATAGAATCAGTTCAGACAACACAAAAAAACATATGACATCAGACATAACACAAAACCAGCATGGTATAGTAGTTAGCATGTCAGACTAGGATCTAGGAAACCCAGATTTGAATCTCCACTTTACCACGAAAGCTCACTAACAGAGCAATCCTAAACAGGGCAATCTTCCCTTCTGTGAGGGACCTTGGGTCTGTGAGTGTCCTTGAGCCAGTCACTCTCCCTGCCTAACTAGGCTAACAAGATTATTGCTGCTCTGAGGATAAACTGGAGGAGGGGAGAACAATGTTGTATGAGGCTTTGACTCCCCATTGGAGATAAATGTGGGTTATAAATATGTTAATACCTACTTCGTGGTTGATTTGTGAAACTAGGAGTCACCTCACAGACTATCAAATCCTTATTTGTTGGATTTATCACTCCTTCCCCCCATTTCCCCTGCAGAGACTGAGCTGATAACCCAAACAACATTGTAGGCAGAGCAGCATCATGGAATAAACCAGGATGTCTGTATTTGCATACCACACAAAACCCTAGTTAGGGATCCCATGTCCCCCCGGGGGGGCGGGGAAAAGCCCGCCCCAGAGGCCTGTTCCCCCCGCCGCTGCCGAATCGGGCCCTGGGGGGAACTCCTCCCCGATGTGTGCGTCACCCGGAAGTGACGGGAGGACGCCGGGCATGCTGGGGGCGGGGCCACAGCCATACAAGGGGAAACTCTATGGTTTTCCCTTGTATGGCCGTGGCCCCGCCCCCAGAATGCCCGGCATCCTCCCATCACTTCCGGGTGACATGCGTGCAGCGTACACGCGCACACCAGACGCCAGCCAGGAGCCCCCCGCTCCCGGCGAAGATCAACTTGGCAACCCTAACCCTAGTTAAGACTAACTGTGATGAATAAACCAATTTCAAACCATGGGTTTAGATCTTAATGTAATTTAATTTTGCTTAATTAAACCATGGCTTTCTGTGATGTCTGAACTGAGCCATAGCCATGGTTTTTGAGACCAAAGCAGCACTATATGAACAGAGCATGCATGTTAGAGCGCAGCCAACACTCCTGTTGTTGGGCTATTTACAACCTGTACTTAGGGGCAAGTGATCTTCAAGGGAAGAAGTGAACAGTGAACTTCTCATTACAGGACCCCTACATTCCCTGGAACACCAACTGAAAACATTGGCCTAGCTGACAGAGGGCTTCTGTAGCATTTTAGGAATTATAAAAACACTTAAGTGTTTTTCCTGAAACAGTCTTACGTGTCTTTCCTACTGGTCAGTTTATGAAGATTTAAGAAGGTTCATTATCTAATCATCCTAATGGTCAGAGGACACACTACAACAGTTTACCATGTGGCATGGTTGGATGCAACTATAGGGGGAAATTGGTGAAAGTTGTATAAGTAGAAGTGCCTTCCACAAATGAAAGAAACCCTTTGAACTGCAGACTTATCCCTTTTTTCTCATATTTGCACAAGAAGTTACATTGACCCATTATAAGTTAATTCATTTATTGTTTTCTTTGTAGAATATGACAGTGACCTTCTTCAAGACATTTATTCTGAGACCTCTGGCCACTTCAGAGATACACTTATGAATCTTGCACAGGTATTGGGCAAGCAGGTTATTTTCTATTGAAAGTAAAGAGGGGGGAGCGAAACATCTTCACATTGTTTAAGGATCATTTGAGTTTTAAGTTCACCATGGCTAAAAAAAATTGGAAGATGAAATCATAATTATAAAAAATTCATCTATAACATTGGCCAATGTTCAGCTACTGAAACTGGCAACTTCTGCCATTTTTCCAAAGTGTATTTCCACTTCCATGTACTTTTTACTCCCACAAGTTATCTGTGTTTTTAAAAACAAACAGAAAACCCCAAGAAAGCATCTTTAGTCCTGTTCTCTTCCCAATAATGTCCAGTAAAATATGATACAAGGGCAGGATATATATTTAAAATGCATCTTGGTAGGCGGTTGTGTATACAATAGGGTTTGTGTTGTATGCATATGTACACAAAAGTGGGGGGGAAAGCAAGGCTGTGGTGAATTACAGCAACGAGAATATGAACAAATGAAGCAATTGTATGTATGTGAAATTATTAAGGTTCATGATCTAATCTATCGAACAATATGCAAAGAAACCATCATGTGTGTAGAGCATCTTTCCCTCAAAAGAGTAATGCTACTGGCTACTAATACTACTAGCTAATACAAGTGCTTCTAGGGCAAAACAGTATGATACACAGGTATAAAATTACAAGCTTTTCATTTTTTACAAATTATACCTATTAATTTTTCCAGGGAACCAGGCAAGAGGGATATGCAGATCCTGCTATGGCTGCTCAGGACGCTACGGTATCAGCATATATGTGCAGTTTTAAAACCTTTCTGAAATGTGATTTGATGTAGTGTTCTTTTGCACATTATCCATCTTTTAATGGTCTAGGTCCTCTGGGAGGCATGCCAGCAAAAAACTGGAGAACACAAAAACATGCTGCAAATGATTCTATGTAACAAGAGTTACCAGCAGTTATGGATGGGTAAATATTTTCATCACTTCTGCTATCACTACACGGCTTAACCATACGAACAAGTAATAGAGCAAAGCAATAGAGCAAAGACCTTGGCTAAAAGTGAGAAGTGGCATCTGCAATAGGGTTGCCAGCTTGGGGTTAGGAAATACTTGGAGATTGGGGGGGGGGAGCCTGAGGAGGGTGGGGTTTGGGGAGGGGAGTATAATGCCATAACCTTCCAAAGTGGTCATTTTCTCCAGGTGAACTGATCTCTATCGCCTGGAAATCAAATGTAATCCTAGGATATCTCCAGCCATCATCTAGCAATCACTGATGATTTCAGAAGCCGTTAGGACTAAATTAACATCACACACATATGAACAAACTGCTTCTTCCCCCCCTTCACATTTGGTGTATGAGTTCGTATGGAAGAACTTTAATGGACATGTATGCCGTCCAGCGCACATGGGAATACATGATTTTGTTACGCTAAATTGGTAGGATAGCAACATAAAGGAAGTCATAATGTGCCGCTTTAAAACAGCAAGATAATGAACTAAACCTGTTCCTTTGACAAATTCTTGCTTTGGCCAAATCATTTCTCCGGTGATCACAGTTAATGTAGTTACTGTTATTACAGACTAGAATATAAGCATAATGAGAAGCTTGATATAATTAATATTTTATTTGTTTGATCAGTAGAAATTGTTTAATGATGTGTTTTTCTACATTGAGTTTTTTTTGCAGTTTGGTTTCTTAACTGCATCAGTTTTTTCCCCCTCACCTACATTGTTGTTGTTCAGTCGCACAGTCGAGTCCGACTCTTCGCGACCCCATGGACAATCTCCCGCCAGGCTCTCCTGTCTTCCGCCGTCCTCCGAAGTTGGCTCAATTTCATGTTCGTTGCATCGCTGACACTGTCTAACCATCTCATCCTTTGCCGTCCCCGTCTTCTTTGACCTTCAATCTTTCCCAGCATCAGGGTCTTTTCCAGTGAGTGCTCCCTTCTCATTTGGTGGCCAAAGTATTTGAGCTTCAGTTTCATTATCTGGCCTTCCAGGGAACAGTCAGGGTTGATTTCTTTGAGGATTGACTGATTTGTTCTTCTTGCAGTCCAAGGGACTCTCAAGAGTCTTCTCCAGCACCATAGTTCAAAAGAATCTATTCTTCGGCGCTCGGCCTTCCTTATAGTCCAACTCTCACAGCCATACATGACTACTGGGAATACCATTGCTTTGACCATGCGGACTTTTGTTGGCAGGGTGATGTCTCTACTTTTTATCATGCTGTTTAGGTTCGCCATCGCTTTCCTCCCAAGGAGCAGGCGTCTTTTAATTTCATGGCTGCAGTCACAGTCTGTGGTGATCTGGGATCCCAGGAACGTGAAGTCTGTCACCTACATACAGTATCATTTGTCAGTTGCTGCTGTAATTTGGGGAAGTGGGGGGAAACTTGCGTGGAGGAAAACTTGAAGGAAAAACAGGGGACCAATGAGCAGCAAATGGTAATGTGTGTGAGGGAAAGAAAAGGAGGTAAAAACTCAGTGCAGAAAAACCTCATGTTTCGTAATCATAGTACGAATATTTTCCCACAACCAAACAACTCAGTGCAAACTCTTTTTTTTTTAATCCCCTGAAAACAGGGTAGCTTTATTTATTTTTGTTACACCTACACAACTACAGAAAATAGAAAAGGGGAGGGGAAAAAATAATTAAAAAACCCAGGGTACAAGACAGCAAATAAAGCAACCCATACTATAACTAAAAGCCCAAGAAATGGAAGGTCTTTAACAGTTAGTGTCCAGTTAGTCATAAAAATAATAACTTTTCGTTTAAGTCAATGAATTCAAGAGTTAGTGAGTCCGTGTTAGTAATTGTCTATCTTCTACTTCTTCTTCTTCTTCTTCTTTTTAGTGAGCACAAAGTCTCTTTCATCTTCTTCAGTTGCGGGTCTTTAACTTCTAAAGAGTTACTTAGGTCCCCTTAGCCGCAAATCATATGCATCTCTGGCCGTGCCACCTTCTGCTCCTCCTGGGTCTCCGTCCATCTCTTCCAGAGTGTCTGCTTGGCCCCCTCCATCTGGCTGTTCTTCCCTTTTCGATGCATGAAACTGCTTCAACCATTCTTCCGCTTTAAAAACCGAGTCAATTTTCTCCCTTTTGTCTTTATATTTAAACCCCACACCCTCGGGGAAATTCCAGGAATACGAAATCTGGTTGATCTGGAGGGTTGAAACAAGTTCCTTGTAGGCTTTTCTTTTCTGTCGAATCTCAAATGGGGTGTCCTTTAGGACCCTGATAGTTGTTGCTCCCAGCTGCAGGGGGTTGACTGCTGTCGCTCTGAGAATATCATCTCTCACCTGCCTTCGGAGAAACTTGACAACAAACTCGCCCGGAAGATTATTTTGCTTAATATACTTAGAGTAGGATCGATAAACCACCTCGATCTCTGCTTCCGCTTCTACCGATGAGCTGCCGAGCGCCGAAGCGATTAGCTCTGCTATCACTTTCTTCAAGTTTTCTCCTGCCGTTTCAGCCACCCCCTGAAATCTGAGAACCTTGTTAGCTTTTTCCATTTGTAGATTTAACAATCTTTTTCCATTTGTAGATTTAACAATCTTTTTCCATTTGTAGATTTAACAATCTTTTTCCATTTGTAGATTTAACAATCTTTTTCCATTTGTAGATTTAACAATCTTTTTCCATTTGTAGATTTAACAATCTTTTTCCATTTGTAGATTTAACAATCTTTTTCCATTTGTAGATTTAACAATCTTTTTCCATTTGTAGATTTAACAATCTTTTTCCATTTGTAGATTTAACAATCTTTTTCCATTTGTAGATTTAACAATCTTTTTCCATTTGTAGATTTAACAATCTTTTTCCATTTGTAGATTTAACAATCTTTTTCCATTTGTAGATTTAACAATCTTTTTCCATTTGTAGATTTAACAATCTTTTTCCATTTGTAGATTTAACAATCTTTTTCCATTTGTAGATTTAACAATCTTTTTCCATTTGTAGATTTAACAATCTTTTTCCATTTGTAGATTTAACAATCTTTTTCCATTTGTAGATTTAACAATCTCCTTTCTTGGAGATCTTGTCTTTGTTCCAACAGGCCAACCTTCTTTTTCACCTTTTTGGTATCGTGCAATGTCTCTTTAAGTTTTTCATCTGTTTGAATCGACTTTTTCACCAGCTCGGCAATTTGCTGTTGTTGCTTTGCCAAACTCTGGTTGGATGCAGTCATTTGTTGGTTAATACCATCGAGTCTTTCGTTAATGGGCCGGAACAGCTCTGATAACATGCAGAACACGTCTCCTTCCTCAATCCTCGGACTTTGACCACCCCGCCCGACTTGTCTCGCTGCTTTTCCTCTCGTGCCGGCCATTTTCAACTTTGTTTACACTAAGGAACGCCTTTTCGCCCTTTTTCAAACAGCGCAAATTTATCCGCAAAACAGCTAAGTCTTTGGCACACTTTAACGCTCTTCTTCTCTCCTCCCCCCCCTTTCTCTGTGTCTCAGTTCAGTTTGTTTACGTCTGGGATTCTCTCCCGACGCCGCTTCTGCTGGGGGGGGGAGCTAACTTTTAGAACTTTTTCGCTCGTTTTTTTCTCCGATTCATTGACGGTCTACTCACAGATCCCTTGTAGTTACGCTCATTCGCTGACCTTCTTGCTTGTCCTGGCTGGCATCAGCTATGCTCGGTAAAAACCGAGCCTCACAGGGGGTGGACTGATTGGGGCAAAAAGGAGCGCCTCAATTCTCTGGCTTCCACCATCGAAGAGGTCGCCCCCCCCCCAGCGCCCCCGGCTCGGAACCTTTAACTAAGGCTCACCTGGGGGTGCCACTTGAGGTGGCACTCCTCCAACACCCCTGGAGCGCGGATTGCCTCCCCAGCTTCAGGGGAGAGTATCCGCCATCGCTGAGCCGCAGACCGGAAGTGCTCAGTGCAAACTCTTAACCTTCACTGAAAAATCTTCAAAACAGCTATGGAGTAAGACACCAAACTGACAAAGGCATAACTGCTCATCAGTCATAAATACAGGGCTCTTTTTGTGCAGGAACGCACAGGAACGGAGTTCCGGCTGGCTCCCGAGTTGGCCACGCCGAGCAGGAGCTCATTAGCATAATAGGCCACACCCAATAGCAGAAACTCATTAGGATTGGCTGCATTAGGGGTGTGTGGCCTAACATGCAAAGGCGTTCCTGCTACAAAAAAAGCCCTGGGTTTTGACAAGAAGCAAGGTAAACAGAATAAGAAGCAAAAGGTCGGTGTGGCTGGATGACCACACTTCTGGTAACATGGGGGTGCGGCCTAATGTGCTAATGAGCTGTGCTGTCAGGGGTGTGGCCTAATATGCTAATGAGTTTCTGCTGTTGGGTGTGGCCAATTATGCTAATGAGTTCCTGCTGGGCTTTTTCTACAAAAAGAGCCCTGCATAAATATACTTTTTTTCCCCAGTTTTTCAGGAGTTTCAGAATATCTCTGGACAAGATATAGTAGATGCCATTACTGAATGTTACGACGGATATTTTCAGGAACTACTGATAGCAATAGGTAAATAAATCAGTATAAATGCAGTATGTTATAATGTTGCTATTATACTCAGCAACTGTACTAAGTATTGGTATATTGCCCCTTTCCTATTTCCACTTTATAAAAGTTACACATTTCAAATAAATATATTACCACATCTACAAAAGTGGGGAAGCTGAGAAACGTAGCCCGTTCATCTGCAAAAGCACTACAATAATAGTTCCAGGCAAGAGTAGCAGTGCCTACTGAGTAGGGAGGAAATTGCTACTCCCTCTGAGGAAGCAGTTACTTGAACTCCTTGTTTTATTGCTGTTGTTCCTACAGATTTGTTGTGTCACCTTGAGGAAGTCTAGATCTTGACAACTAGTGGCAATGGTTTTTAGACTCCAGTGTTTTAATAGTATAGAGTTAAGCCTTTTATCTTTCTGTACCTCAGATTCTCTATGTCAAATAACGTTTATCAGAGTCGTCTTCAACCTAGACAAATCCTGCCATTATAAGGGCTTGGTTGTGTCTAACTTCTAAAGCACTTAATGAAATGGAAGACACAAGCCAATTCATTGCCAGCAGCCATTGGAACTGCTAGTTCTAGGGAAGATTTTTTTTTTTGATAACTCTATTAGAGAATTGGAAAGTGATATTTCTCAGCCAATACTAGCAGAGAAATTAGAAGATCTTGTTCTTTACTATATAGTACTGAATTTGAGAACTATTCAGCCATTAGAATCTCCCTGCACCTCAGTTTCAACCCACCTATCGTAAGTATACTTCTCACAAAAGCTACAAAGAAACGGGCAGGAGTATACTCCTAGAGACATAGATAATGATTACTGTTGTCTGACTGCAATAGAGATGTTTTGAAGATTGTAACACCTCTTTTGTCTGATTTTGCCTGCAGTTCTGTGTATGAGAGACAAAGCTTCCTATTTTGCTTATAGACTTTACAATGCAATTCACGTAAGTATGTACATTATTTAAAATGATGGCTTCAGTAGTCTCTTCTTTGTTACTTGGCCAATACTCATCCAAAAGTGTTATAATCCTAATTTTTAAAGTGCTGCTTGCTTGCTTTTGTGATTTATGATAATCACGTCAACAACAAATCCCAAATAACTCCTTTAAGTATAGTGACCAGAAGATATAATGCAACCTCACTTTTTAGAATTGCTTTAGACACAGCATTTACTTATTCAGGAGTAAATTCCACCAAACACATAAGGACACCTGAAGCTGCCTTGTACTGAATCAGACCAACTGCCTATCAAGCAGCTGATCCCAGGGTATTAGGTAGAGATCATTCACATTGGCTACCACCTGATCCTTTTTCCTGGAGATGCCAGGGACCTTCTGCATGCCATGAAGATGTTCTACAAATCAGAATTAAATTGTGTTATTCAGTGGGGCTTACTCCCAGAAAAATGCCCTTAGTGCTGCAGCATTAGGATTGTGGTCTTAGAAGTGGTTCTATTTAAATAAGCAACTTGGTAGAGAGTCTTGAGAGTCCCTTGGACTGCAAGGAGATCAAATTAGTCAATCCTAAAAGAAATCAACCCTGACTGTTCCCTGGAAGGCCAGATACTGAAGATGAAGCTCAAATCCTTTGGCCACCAAATGAGAAGGGAGCACTCACTGGAGAAGACCCTGATGCTGGGAAATATTGAAGGTCAAAGAAGAAGGGGACGGCAAAGGATGAGATGGTTAGACAGTGTTATCGAAGCAACGAACATGAAATTAAGCAAACTCCGGAGCATGATGGAGGACAGGAGGGCCTGGCGTGATGTGGTCCATGGGGCTGCGAAGAGTCAGACTGTGCGACTGAACAACAGCAACAAGAAATAGAGATTAGGTGTGAAGAATTGAAGTACTAACAATTCTGCATAATCTTAGGGGACACTATTGGAGAGGGGCATGCAAATGGTCCCAGTATTAATCCCTAGCATCTCCAGTTACAAGGATCAAGTAGGATGTGATGTGAAAGACCTATACCTGAGACCTTGAAGAGCTGCTGCCAAGTCTAAATAGATAACACTGACCTGGATGGACTAATAGTCTGCTTCAGTATTAAGCTGCTGTATGTGTTCATGTATTCTCCAAACTGAGGTTCTTCTACTGTAAATCCCAACTAACCCACCACATGCATCTGCAAGTAGATCTGCTTTAACAGGACAATGCGGTTTTTTATATGCCATGGAAAAGACATCATTCTGCATGGCCTTTTTCGCCCTCTAGTGTGAAAATGTGAAATTACAGATTGTGTATCATGAAATTGTCTGTTCTATGGAAAAACACTACAGATGCATGTCTGTTTCATTTTCTTAACATTTTATTTCCATTTAGACCTGCTAAAGAGCCAGTTTCAGATTCAAGTCATGCCAACAGGCATCTGTGCCAGAAAGAAATACTGCCTATCAAAGATTGTTAGATTTATATTCCATTTTTTTTATTTATTTTTTTAAGAATCATAGAAGTCTAAATAACAAGCCTGCAAGTTGCAACATTTTTGTCCAGTTAGTTTTGCTGCCTTGGGGACCCTGAGTCAGGTGGACAGGCAGCATAGAAATGTTTTAAATAAAATAAAATAAATTTAGGGTGGATTTAGAGTCTTCTTCCTGGAGTATATTCCAGGAAGAATTTGTCCAAGTCACTCAGCTGCTCTTACTACCACATAATATGCAATAGAAATGTACCCATATCTTTACCCACCAGGTTGGGGGTGGGGTAAACACAACTTGTCTGTGTGTAAAGTGCCACCAAGTTGCAACTGACTTATGGTGACCCCAGCAAGAGGGTTTCAAGGCAAGAGAAGCAGAGGTGTTGCCTTCCTCTCTGGAGTCTTTCTCAATAGTCTCCCATAATGACCCCGCTCAGCTTCTGAGACCTGATGAGATCAGGCTATACCATGCTGCCTTCCCTCCCAAAACCAACTCTGAAATAGCCTTTTCTGGTGAAAAACCAGAGAGACAAGAGTTAACGTTTCCCTTTCTCCTATACTATTCTCTTTCTCAATAAAGGAATCCCAACAGACAAATTGGCAAAAGAAAAATAAGATGATTAAGATATATACAGAAGGAAGTGTAATGCGTGACTGAGCCCTTAGAGAGTCTTGTTCACATGAGCCACAGGTTGAGTTATACATATCCATGGCATGCTTATCCTAACAAACACACAGTGATGTAAGTTCTACTGGGACATGGTGACTTCCAAAAACTCCCCAATGGCTGGATTAGGTAGGGTTTTCCAGACTTATATTGTGCTAGCACTATAGATATGTAAACTCAAAGTATTTTGATATCCACACTGTCCACAGTGACAGTGATGTATAGAATGGCTCCTGTAAAGGCAGGCTGCACTGATACAGTTCAGAGCAACAGTAGCATATGGCTTTTATTGATACTTTTACAAAATTTATACCCCATCATTATGCCCTCATGAATGATCAAACATAATTACAACCACTTCATAAAGGCTCACAGAGCAAGTCTGAATAATCCACTCACTGCCACCCTGAACACTATTATACCCTTCGAAACCCATTAACCTCAGCGGATTTAGAACGATGTACACAGACACGACCACATGAAGCTGCCTTATACTGAACTATTGGTCCATTGAGGTCAATATTGTCTACTCAGACTAGCAGTGGCTCTCCGGGGTCTCTGGCAGAGGTCTTTCACATTACCTACTGCCAGATCCTTTAACTGGAAATGCCTGGGATTGAAGCTGGGATTTTTTGTATGAGCAGCACATGGTCTACTACTGAGCCACAGCCCCTCCCTATAACTCTGTTTAGCACTGCACTGTAGATCTGTGACCCTCCTCAGAATCCTAGTCTCTATGCTTTGCCTATGTATCAAAATCTGGTACAAAATAAAGTGAATTACGGCAGATATCTTTTTTAAAAAATAGAGTTCTTTCAAGGACAGGAGAGACTGTGACTAGCTACACAGACTTCACAGACTATTCTGTATGCACAAATTCAATTGTACCCCATGCAATATTATCACCCTTAGTGCTGGTGTTCTGTGTGCATGTGCTCCACAATCTAGAAAATAAATAGCACATGTTAAAAAATTTGAAAGCATACACTTATTATATGTTTACACATACAATCACAGGTTTTCCTGTAAAAATGGGTTTCCTGTAAGAACAGGTTTCCCTATAAAAACAAACTCTTTAAAAATGTTTAATAGAGTCAAATCCTGGAAATATGTATTTTTCTCCACATTTCTTGTTTTCACCTGGAGAGCGGCCCCAGCGTAAATGACTAGTGCATCATGCCATCTTGCAAACCAGTTTTTCTAACAAGGATGAAGGAAATATATATTCTTGCAGACTAATAAAATACTGAACTACTTTATCCATTAGATGTCATCATTGTTCCACAAAAAGTCAACCTCACACATCTTGTCTGGAAACAAGTTGGGTATCTCAGTATTAGATAAGAAATTACTGAGTTTCTAATGCCACACTCCTTTCCTTAATTATATGTTGTGATAAAAGGAAATAAGTTTCCTTTAGATGAGCAAAGTTAAACAATGTATAAAAAAAGAATTTTCCAACTGTATCATGCATAAATACTACACATCTAAACACAATGGCTGCCTTGATCCTGTGATAACTGACATGGCGCCTGTTTGCTTATTGAGTCTTGGGGATACAATCCAGAGGGACTAGAATAAAATGGGGAGGTGGAGCTTCAGGTTGTTTTTTACCAGGTAACAGAGCTTTTCAGGCAGGTGCATCACTGCCACACAGCTTGGCTTGGCTTGGCCACAGACCCAGACTTTCTTATGTCCCTGGGATTACAAACCTCTATCTGTGGTTGCACAGGAAAATAATCTCCCCCCTTTTTTCGGTAGAAAGGAAGAAGAGAAGAGATTAGATTTATACCCCGCCCTTCACTACCCAAAGGAATCTCAGAGTGGCTTACAAACTCCTTTCCCTTCCCCTCCCCACAACAGACACCCTGTGAGGTAGGTGGGGCTGAGAGAGCTCTGACAAAAACTGTTCTTTTTCAAGAACAGCTGTGCCAGAACTATGGCTTGGCCAAGGTCATCCAGCAGGTGCAAGTGGAGGAGTGGGGAATCAAACCCGGTTCTCCCAGATTAGAGTCCGGAGATGAGCAGCGCAACCATAGAGTCAGATTCGACTGGCTTTCAAGCAAGGGAACCTTTATCTTTACCTTTACTTAACCACTACACCAAACTGGCTCAGGAAGGAAGGAAGGAAGGAAGGAAGGAAGGAAGGAAGGAAGGAAGGAAGGAAGGAAGGAAGGAAGGAAGATAGATCTCTTTGAGAGCTAACCTTTCTTCTACCTCCTCAGTGCAGGAGATTCTCTAGAAAAGCCCAGGAGGCATGTCACTTTTACATTTGCAGGAAGTGCAAAGTTGGAAGCATCTGCCTCCATGATAGGAGACTGCTTGGCCTAGAGCCTTGTAACATTATGCTGACTTCCCCAGCATTCTATGAATAACCCTGCCCACCAGAGTAGTCACTCTGTGATTGGCCCTGCCTTCACAGCAGGAACTTTTGCACCCACTGTCCTCTCTCAAAATTTCAGAAGTGTCCACAATCTGCTTAGGTTTAGAGTACAAGTTTCTCAGATACTAGCTAAATGTACACAAAATTGTGAAGCTGTTACTCGGTGATTGTAAGTCAAAATTATTTTAATTAGACCGACTATGCGTCATATCCACCACTATATCAAATATTCTTTGCAAAAATTGTTAAATACAGTGAGGATAAATGATTTCCCCAAAGTGGAATTTTGAGAAAAAATTGCCCAGTTATTTGCCACTTCAAAATATTTTCCCTTTTATTTGGCCCCTTAGTGTATACAGGACAATATTTAGAAATAACTAAAGACAATTCTGCATAGTAAACAACTTTGACAACATTTTCTCAGTATATTTCATGACTACTTGCTCTAATTCACTTTGGAGGTCACAGTGGGTTGGATCCAGCCAGTTGTTTTTTTTTACTCAATCTTGCTCAATTCCCTTTCTTTCTACAGCCCTGTCCTACATGGTTTTGTCCACGCAGGTCCCATGGTTCCCAGCAAAGCTTTTCTAGTTTGATGTAGTGGTATAGTGGTTTGGTGTGGTGGTTAAGAGCACGGACTCTAATCTGGGAGAACCAGGTTTGATTCCCCACTCCTCCACTCGCAGCTGCTGGATGACCTTGTGCAAACCATAATTCTGAGAAGAGCTGTCCTTGAAAGGGCAGTTCTTGAAAGAGCTCTCTCAGCCCCACCTACCTCACAGGGTGTCTGTTGTGGGGAAGGGAAGGGAAAGGAGATTGTAAGCCGCTCTGAGACTCCATTGGATAGTGAAGGGTGGGGTATAAATCCAATCTCTTTTTCTCTTCTACTCTTCTAGTGCTCAAAGAAGATCCCTTGTTCACTATCTGATAAGCTGGTTGGAGCCATCCCAGTGTTACCATACTTCAGTCATGCAATGTTAATAAATACAATTGCATTTCTGTCCTCTCTTTCAGGAATTGGGATTCCATAACAAAACAGTTATAAGGATTCTGATTGCCAGAAGTGAAATAGATCTGATGAATATAAGACAACGCTATAAGGAGAGATATGGAAAATCACTGCTTCATGATATCAAAGTAAGTCTCTAACTCACTGCTTGCCTTGGTGTGGCTCATGGATTGGTATCCTTTAGCCCTTGAGAAGCAGTCAGCAGCAGTCTTCAGCTACTCTCATGCAGAGCCACTGACATAAAGACAGATAGTAAATAATGGCTTCTGAACAATAATAGATCCTTTGCACCTTAACCCAAATTCAGTCTACCTGTCCATCCTCTGCTATTTGCCGTTTGCTACAGACACAACTGGAAAGATCCATTACAACAATGACCCTCCTTTTACTTTTACTGAAAGTCAACTATAATTTTTGGTCCGTACTCCTTGGGAGACAATGTAAACTCAGTGTATGCAGGGCATAATCCCTTATTACATTTGGTGTCAATGCTGTGGGGGGGGGGACTCAATACAAAGAAATCAATCATGTTACAGAAGAGAGGAAGTCCACTAATACATATGTAAAATACTATTTCGACTATAGAAATTAACTCAAAAAAGTAATGTTTCAATTCAATGTTACTCATAGCAACCAGGAAAAATCCAATAACATCAAAACATAACATAACATCTGGCTGGTTTACTGACCTTCTAACACGGTCTGCTGTCCCTGCTGGAGGCCGTATCAGGCTGGGTGCTGGAGCACCCTAGGCTTCTGGTCTTGAGTGACTTCAACGTCCATGCCGATGACACGGCCTCCAGCTGGGCTGCGGACCTGGTGTTGTCCATGGCGGCACTGGGACTCTCCCAATTTGTATCGACCCCCACGCACTGGGCCGGGCACATGCTCAATTTGATCTTCGCTGCGGGGATTACAGTGGACCAGATTACTGCAATGGCAGTACCATGGTTGGACCACTATGCCTTGAAGGCTCGTCTGAACATCCCACCCCGACCCTGTTTAGGCAGCGAGCAGATTATAGCTCACCCACGGAGCCAAATGGACCCTGTACGGCTTCAGATGGCTCTGCGGGATCTGATGCCCCCTGGCGGCTCATTGGATGAGCTTGTGGAGGACTGGCATAACCGACAGCTCTACCACAAGGCAGACAAAACAGTAGGGAATTGGATATTGGCTGTGAGGCTTTTGCAAGCTATTTCGCGGACAAAGTCTTGGTGCTCTGCTGCGACTTCCTCGCCAGTTGAAACAGTGTGCGAACTTGAGGCCCCTTGCACGTCTTTGCGGGGATTAGAATGTTTTAACCCGCTCAGTCTGGAGGAAGTTGACAGACTGCTCATATCTGTGTGTCCAACCACATTCCACCTTGATCTGTGCCCTTCCTGAGTGTGGTGTGCCTCAGGGGGCGGTGCTGTCCCCGATGTTGTTTAACATCTACATGCGCCCCCTCACTCAGTTTGCCATGAGGTATGGGCTGGGTTGTCACCAATATGCTGATGACACCCAGCTCTATCTGATGTTGGGTGGCCGGTCGAGCTCCGACCCAGAAGATCTGAACCAGGCATTACAGGCCGTGGCTGTGTGGCTCAGGCCGAGCCGGTTGAAACTAAACCCAGCGAAGACGAAGGTCCTGTGCCTGAGTCGGTGCGGTGCAGGGTTGGGGATCCCTCTCCCGACCTTTGATGGGGCGCCGCTGGTGCCAGCGTTGGAGGTTAGGAGTTTGGGAGTGCTCCTGGATTCCTCCCTAACAATGGAGGCCCAGGTGGCAGCCACTGCCAGATCTGCATTTTACCATCTTAGGTAGGTTCGGCAGTTGGTTCCCTTCCTCGACCGTGATGACCTGGCCACAGTGATCCATGCAATAGTCACCTCAAGGCTAAACTACTGTAATGCTCTCTACATGGGGCTGCCTTTGTCGCAGATCCGGAAGCTGCAGCTAGTGCAGAACTTGGTGGCCAGGCTGCAGATGGGCCTCCCCAAGTGGGAGCACATCCAGCCTGGGCTGAAAGCGCTGCACTGGCTGCCAATAGCGTACTGAATCCGCTTCAAAGTGCTGGTACTTACCTTTAAAGCCCTACATGGCCAGGGTCCAACTTACCTGAGGGACTGCCTTTCCCCATATATACCCCCAAGAGCACTTCGGTTGGGGACACAACACCACCTGGTGATTCGAGGGCCCCAGGAGGCAAAGCTTACTGCAACCAGGGCCATATCCTTTTCAGTGGCGGCCTCTACCTGGTGGAACGAGCTCCCAGAGGAGATTAGGGCCCTGTGGGACCTTATGCAGTTCCGCAGGGCCTGCAAGATGGAGCTCTTCCACCAGGCTTTTATATAGGGGCTGCCACTACCACCACTACCACTACCACCACCATTAGTGGTGGAGATAACAACAAGGTTAGGGGTGGTCCCAGGAAGATCTGACACTGATACTGCTGGACTGGCCTTGGACCATCAACAGAACAATATTGCCCCCAAGGAAATGACTGATACCATCACGAAATTATTCGGAGACCATTTTGTTCGCATGGAGCACTTTATTCTTGTTTATTTTGTAATTTAATGGTTTTATTGTTTTATCTTGTTTTTATGCATGGGCTCGTGCCCTCTCGTAAGCTGCTGTGAGCCCGTTCGCGGGGAGGACGGGGTAAAAATGTTAGCAATAAATAAATAAATAATACAAACATTTAGGACTACAGGTTCTGAAGACTGTAGCTGGGTTATCAAATTGTTATTTGAGGCTCCAAAATGGAACAAGCAGTATTTTAGAGAAATTATACAGTATTAGATATGTGTGATTAGTTATTTTCTATATCTCAAGTTAGATGAGTAGTCTGATTAATAAAGGTAAAGATTTCCCTTGCTCAAAAGCTAGTCAAATCCAACTCTAGGGGGCGGTGCACATCTCTGTTTCCAAGCCAAAGAGCCAGTGCTGTCTGAAGATGTTTCCATGGTCATGTGGCTGGCATAACTAAATGCTGAGGCACATGGAACAGTGTTACCTTCCCACTGAAGCAGTACCTATTTATCTACTTGCAATTTATTGCTTTCGAACTGCTAGGTTGGCAGAAGCTGGGGCCAGAGACGGGATCTCACTCCGTCATGCGGCACTAGGGTCTCAAACTGCCAAACTACAGACTTTCCAGTCTGCAGCTCAGCGTCTTCACCTCTGAGCCACCATGGCCCCAGCATGCTTAATAGTCCCTTTTAAATAACAGGAAATACTAGGTCTCTACACACAGCCCCTCTGCTCATTCACTGAATGTGAGGAAAATGGGAATGAGTGCACTGGTCCCGCCCCACCTACATGCACACTACCTTCTCATGTTCAGGAATGTTCAGAAAGCCATCTCCCTCTTCATCAGGAGGGAGCACATGCACGGACGCTTCCTCTGGACATAAGTGCTATGCTCACAAGCCAACAATCACACAGAGGCAGGGCCAATATGCTTGTGTCTGTTCCCAGTCTCCATGCATTCAGTCAATTTGTGGCATGATCATGTATAGAGGGCTATCGTTCCAAAATCTGCAAATTACACCAATACCCTTAAAAACTATATTCACATGCATGCTACAACTACCTGCACAATGAGTGCATTACAACACAGCAATTCTGACAGAAATAAAGCAGATTTGAAACTGACAATTAGGCTTGCCAGCCCCACACTGGTGGCGGGGGATCCCCCACTCCCAGGCCCTGACACACACACCCAGCCACTGATCAGCTGGCTAGCAGATGGGCTTACTAGGAGTAGGAGGGAGGCCCAGGCTACTTCACTGGTGACATGGCGACATCACTTCTGGCGTGTACCAGAAGTGATGTCATCACGTCAGCAATGTCATGGCAATGATCTGGTGTCTGGGCAAAAACTCTATAGTACAAGCCATTTTTACCATAGTTTTTGCCCAAATACCAGAGTGACTTTACCATATCACTGGCAATGTAGCCCTGGCCTCCCTCCCACTGCTGGTAATTCCCCCTCCCATCCCTTGCTGGTTGCCATAAGGGACATAGCAACCCTACTGAAAACTGGAAAAATCTTTGGCATTTCTTTTCCTACTTAATCTCTATCTTATTTCTGTAATACTCTATATATGCCAATCTCTTCTGCCTTCTCCTTATTTGAATAAATTTTTATTCCAATTTTATATATTTTTAAAGCTTCAATAATTTTTTTAAAAATATCTTTAGCAAAAATGAGGATAATCCAGCTGCACATGGCTTTTGTCCATGCCTTTAAACAACTTGGTTTGATTGTGGGCCTCGTCAGAGTCACATACAGTGGACCCAATGTATAAGGCCCAGAGCATAGGTAAGATAAGAGGCCTTAAGAATGTATCCTATAGTCTTCAGTGTTGTTACAAAGGTTTCAGAGGTATATTCTTGCCTTTCACTCTTTAGTTCATGCCACAAGACCAGCATCTTGTGTAAGTGGTGGGATATGAATGCTCTTTGGTTACTTCTGCAGCTCTGATTCCTTGCATGTCTACCTGTCAACTGGCTGGGATATGCTGATGAGGAACTACCAAGTCCACTTGGATATGGGTGTTGCAGTTCATCATCCTGCATATATATCTTCCTCCAACCAAATGAGAGACAGGCTGAAGAGCCACATTTGCAGAAGCAACTGAAAACTCTCATTTCTTTGTACCCAGATAGTAAGATGTGGGGAAATCCTGATCTTTTATTCATTTTGGTTGCTCTGCTTGTCAATCCCACGTACAAAGCTCCAAAAATCCTTTCAGGATGTCTGCCCTCAGCTTCAAAAAAGTCCATTTATCTGTGAAATAACCATCAAAAATATAAATATATTTGACAAATATTTATTTACCTTACAGCATTTTGCCTCTGGACATTATGAAAGTGCTTTACTTGCCATCACTGCTGGAGATGCTGAAGATTACTGAAAAGAAGAAGCCAATTATTGCGGGGTGGGTGGGTTTATAAGCGGCAAACGTTTGAATAGTAATCCAAATGGAAGACCA